CAACGGAGGATTTCTTTACCCAAGACTGTAACATAATCTATCACTTATAATGTATTACATAAAATTGTATTTATACTGTATTATTAGTTAGGTATATTGTAAAATTAGCACAAAATCCCCACATTGGTATCACGAGGTTCGACTTAGAATATAAAAATTTAAAAAATATGCGGCCGAAAATATTGATTCATTTCCAGCTGGTATCACTTGACACTACATGTTGTAATATCATTCCCAAACTGTAGAGTTATCAAACAATTCATAAACGAGCCACCAAGCTGTGACTCGCAAGTATGCTAAAACCGAACAATAATAAACACATATCATGTGCATATTCATAGATAACATTGCGCATTAATATAGAATGATAAAAGTTTAAATTGCATATAGTATTACCGAATATAATAGTATAGTAGGTAACATAAGTTTTATTTTTCACACCGAAAACTTGAGAATACATAGAAATATGTTCACAGATGTAAAAATAATATCCAAATGAAGTAAGAAAGAGAAGTGCAGAAGGATACATCAAATAAAAAAGTTGATACTTTACGCGAACATTTGTAATGGAATTTCAGGTTACCGTAGTAACGAAATCTGACGAAACACCATCGGGGGAAATAAAAAGTAAACCCAGATGCAAATGGACAGGATGAGACGAGAAAGAAAAAAATACAGAAACGCACTATGCATTGGTTATATTTTCGGGCCCTAGTTACTTTGAAATCAAATTTGATTATTGTAATTTATTATTCAAGACAAAGTATAATCATGAATAAAAATAGCAAAAACTTTTCTGATTACGTTAAGAAAATCCAGTTGGGAAGTATAGAGATTATATATTATATATTGGTATAATATATTGTGACGTGTACACTCACTGTCAGTTGACGGGGACATATTTACTATTTAATGGGTGGAAAGGTTAAAAGACGATTGCCCCGGGCGTAATGGGGGCGTGATGACTGATGAGTATAATGTTACTGGGAGGGAGATTGGTCAAACCGCGGCGGGAGGGGGGGGGGGTGCTAAGTATACACCCGTGGCGCCAAAGTCCTTAAGTCGACGTCACTATACCGTAGTTTATACTCAGAATACAGTACAATTTCGAAATTCTCAACAGAATACCATCGAACAGCACGCAGTGTACGCTGTATACATGAATCAGATTTTACTGCAGAAGGAAAGTGTATTGTTTTAGAAAAAAATAAACTTGCTAAGACGGACATGTAAAACATTTTTTTTAACCAACTACTACATGACAAATGCATACAGGAGATAATAGAAGAAAAATAAATTTAATGATATTTTATCCTTCAAGTTTCTGACATTGCGGTAAAAAAAAATTGACAAACACAAAATATTATTGGATTTATTTTACATCTACCTGTCAGACTAAATCTATAACGACAAGTGAACAACTCTCTCCTTATTATTTTTATGACACGAATCAATATAACCCCAAATAACTATATTTATCTAAATCTTTGTGGACCGAGTAAAATGTAAAAGAACAATTCTTAACATTTACAATTTGCAACAAACAATCACAATTAATATATGATAGATTTTGCAAACTGAATAAACCAATCAACTATTTAAAATATTTGTAAGATATGTTAGGTATTTTATTTTTTATATTTCATGGACAGTAATATATTGTTAAGAAAAAAGAGTATCGATAATTATATTTAAAGGTGTTCTTTTCTATGATTTTATTATTGTTATTATGTCCAATATAATATTTAGTTTATTTATTTATCCGAATGGCAAGTAAAATATATATGTAGTGAACGATCCAGAAGAAAATTATATACTTTTTAATGTTTATAGGTGCTTATGAAATAAAACAAATGTTCTCTTCCATACTTCTATGATTATTATTGAGCTTGGACAAAATTACTAAGGATTACGGAAGTTATATACAATGTGACACCGTAAATATAACCGTACAGGTTTAACCTAACCTAACCTTGGACAGTTATTTGTGCGGTTCTTAGTTTTCTAAAAAATATAATTTTTAATAACCTAGAACACTATTAAAAATAATATAACACAATCTGTATGATATTTTTATTTTTATTTGTTAGCAATACAGGTATCTATACATAAGAAATAATTGGAAATTCGAAACGCATAAAAAAATGAACCGATTATAAAAACAAATCTACAATAATTTAATACCAACATACCCAGTAATATCTCTTTCTAAACATAATAGAAAAATAACAAATTATTTTCGAACAGTCCGGAAATTGGAAACAAAACCAAATCATACAATTATTGATCGCTGAACAAGAAAATATAAAAATTTATCCAGTTATTGTTTTATTCAATTTGGAAATTCTATATATACCTACCAATTTATTCAACCTATATTAAAATCTATGTATAATGTTGTATTATGTCACTACTTTACTAGAATCTACAACAGTGGTTCCCAAACTTTTTTCTGCTCTTTTTTTACTCGATTCAGCCTCGGTGCCCTGTTGTGAATAACATAAAAGACGGAACAAAAAAAATATTCATTGATATCCTTAGACCGTAGAACGCGGTGCCCTTAGAAAGTGCTCGCGGTGCCCTAGGGCCTAGGGGACACAATTTGGAAACCATTAATCTGGAATAATTTAATACTGTTATATATACTACACGTACCTACTGTTAGGCGAATAAAGTGTACCTACAAATTTATATCGAACAGTTTACAACATAAATGTCGAGAAATAATTAAAAACGTACCGTTACAAATCATGAATAATATCAAAGTGAAATTTTCCAGTACAAATAAATCGTACTATAATAATACGTTTCCAAATAGAATCCCGGAATGAAATATTTCTATTTACATCGTAAAATAATTACGTAATATATTCAGGAGTAAACGGGGCCGCTGTGAAACCAGTGGGAGTGGCTCGTTGGTGTATATTAATGAATTTGATGGTATTCAACCCTTGCGTACGAGTATAGGGTAGGCTTAATCATGACTTATTGATAATATTATTAGTGATTACTTTTATTTCCTCCCCCAGCAAAAATGCAATACTCTTCGGATTAACTAGAGCTGGGATTAGTTTGAATTGGAACGTTTTTCAGACATTCGGGGGGTAAGTAAGGTCCACTAATATTGATACAAATAATAAATTATTTATTTTGCTTCTTTTTGCATATTCAACTTCATCAACAGGAAAATAGCATGCTTCGTGATATACGCCTATTCAAACGAAAATAATATAAGGGCTAGACAAAAACGACGCTCCTAACTTAAATAGTATAAAATCAGTAATTCTGTCACTGACGAAAAATATGTAAAAATATATTGAAAATTTTAAAGATTTATTTAAAACTAAGATTAACATAAATAATTCGGCTTACACAAATAGCAACTTCATTGAATTTGTTTTAAATTCATAGGGGATACTCGTCTCTTTTACTTAATGACTGTTCGAAAATTATTCGTACATTTTTTGTATATTTTAGCATGTTATAAAAAAATAAAATTTTAAATATTTCATAAATACAACAATATTCACTATGTGTATTCTATTAGAAACACGGCTGTCGAAACTCTGGGACCTTTAAATTTCGATACCATTCTACAACTTTATTATATAAAATAAAAGGGTGCTCAGTTATAAAGTGTACCACTTATAATGACCGAAAACATAAAATCAAACATATTTGTTGTACGCCACCGCTCTACAGACGATAATTAATGTGACGTGTCGAAATAAATGAATACGCATTTTCTTCGATATTCGATGTTTCGGGAGCTGTAACAATCGAGGCGTGTTGTTTGCATTCTTGATCGACTTTTTTTGAATTTTTCGTGGCAAAGGAGGACTCCAGTAAATGTTTCATTTCATTCACGACTTTTCTTTTGAATTAAGTCATAATACAGCTACGGATTACTCGTAAGCAATCGTGAATTACTGCGACGGATAGCATTATCCATGTATCCATAGCTACCTGCACTCCGATTATTAATTACACGGTCGACAACAATTCCATTCAAAGGGGAATACGCATAGGCCCCCGGAAACCGGCGTCGATGTCAGATTTAGTAATCCATCACAATAATTGTCATCGGTAGATCTGTTAAGCTCATCCTCGGCCACCCCTGATGATGTACGCCACATATTTTAAACTCGCAAAAAAAAAGAAATATCAAACATAATCGAACATAATTGACAGCTGCAGACGGGTGATTAACGTGTGGATTAGAACGGAACTTCGACCGGACGCGGATGTAATAATATTTAATCAGTATCTATCTCAATAAGCATAACTTAAAAGGATCAATTATCGATGACTATAAATTATTTAATGTTTTACCAATACACACATTATATTAAAAAAATAGCCATTGTATTTATTATAAAAAATTATTACTCATGGGTCGACGAAGAAAGCATATATAATGAAAGCGAAAATAGAACTCATGATGCAAAAGTTACATATTTTAATAAATAATTTGGTAAAAAAATCGTAGAACATCTTGGTCCTACATAGTTAAACACTTTTCCGAGAAATGTTAAAAATAATATATACTTACACACTAATTACAGGAATCTTATAAAGTTTAATCATAATAAACTAATTTTTAATTGGTTATTTACATTGTCAGAATAGTATCTGGTATGTTGTAATTTTATTTGTCTGTTTATTATTTTTGTAATTATTTATGTATTTCTAATAATCTTATTAATACAAAAAATGGTGTAATTATTTTGAATGGTTAATTTAAGTAATATAAATTGTAACTCTCTACCACCAACACTGCAAGCATAAAAAGCTTGAATAGGTGGTTATAATCACATCCATTGTAGTTTCTTATAGTAAATAATTTTCAAAAAAATAAATAAATATAAACCCGTGGCTCTACCTATAAACCGTTTCTCCCTCGGAGCAAACACTAGACGACTTGCACCCCCATGCACCCTAGTGTATAGATAGCGCCCGAGCACTGCTCAGTGAACGCTCGCCGAATCGCAAAAGTCCGTCAGTCAACTAAACCGAATCAAACGAGAACGTCGCAACTCTTTCCGGTAAGATTTATAACACGTGCGCGATAACAATGTTATTATTATTTTTTTTTTTTCGCGATAATAAAATATTGCTGCATATAATGATTAGTATAGTGTTATCGGTTATCGTAAACAATGTATACACGATGCTGGCGTTCGAGGGTTTCGTAGGTATAAATTGCAGGATTCTGGAATTTTAGAAAAACGTATTACATAATATCTTAATACTAAGGCTTTTCGATTTTACGTTATTTGCATGTATAGGTGATGTATTGTATTTTATACCATGTAAATCCTTACAACACGTAGACGTTAAACATAATATCAGAGTAAAACAAAGGGTTGTAAATAAGTGTGTTCCTATCAAACGACAACGTGTATTGCCCAATCACGACAGGTCGTGATAACGGTATCGTATTGTGTAAGACTTTTGTGTATTATAAGTTAGGTATTAATAGTAGTAGTATTAGTTAGGTATTAATAGAATACAGATGCAGAACCTATAAAGTGCCTAGGTTGGCTTTGCGTTCAATGTTCATCAACTCTAAGAATATTGGTCGTGGCGCGTACACGAGCGGGAGTGAGAGTTACGAAAAACCTAGCGGACATAGCCCTTAGGCGTGGGCAGCAATTTGGTGTGGTGTGTGCCAGGAAGAGATTGGGTTACTTTATCTTGAATGGGCTCTAATAAATAAAACCTACTCCCCCCCCCCTCTCACAGAAAAAAAAATAAAAAACAGACATTCAAAATTTAAATTCGTAAAAACTCATATTGGTTAACTTATCCTGCTTGCACCTAATTGTGTTTCCCAAAAACATTTTCATATATTTCAACAAATATATTAACACTATAAAAAAATGAGTAGGTATATTTTATTATACCTATTTTTAAACACATATAATTTAATAATAAACTATAATATACACCTATATTAGAATTTCGAATAAAACCATTACATCACTACACTTGAAATGCGGGTTGCAATAGTAAGCGTGGATGAAGTGAAACTTCTCTACTGCAGGGGGAATGAAAAAAAGGTCATCACTTATCGGCCATCAAGGTCAAATATTAAGTTTGCATTGGACAAATAAAATTTTCAATTGAAATTAATTATCATTATACAAATATAAGACAATCGGATTAATATTTATTACCATAGAAACCTTAGTGTCGAGTGAGCCACACCCGTAACGCTTTTTGGTCGCAACGGCTGAGCCCACTTCCGCACCTACAGAATAAGGTTCACTTCAATACAACTTTTAATAATGGAATGTCAAATCTAGGTAGTTTAAGTAGTAGCCGAAATACACGCCTGGCAATAGAAATTAATACTATCACTATTGCGATCGAACTTGAACATTGAACGGCAGAGATGAGTCGTATCACATCATATATTAGTGATTGTTCTGTGCCACTGGTGGTTATCTAGTCCATTCTCGTGGGTTATCGTTTGTGCTATTTATTTTGTAGCCTACACATTGAACAAAACCACAGAATGAACAATAGTCGTACAAATAGCCACAAGCCACGGGGTGTGCCACGGCACACCTGGCACACTCTGCAGTGCACACGCCAAAGGGACCAACGAAAGCGAAAACGTTATCAGCGATCGAAGAGAAAACACAGACGAATACATGATAACGAGAGTCGGCGTCGAGGTTATCTGTTGGCGCGACGGTCTGGATTTATTGATTTTTCCGCGATGGTCTAGATTCCGAGGCGCCGCGCGCCGGTCCGTTCGGCGGCGGTGGTGGCGTCGACGGCGGTGAACCCCGGCCGCCGCGCCACCGTTACTGTGTGTGCACAACACGGCGTTTGGCCTCGTTATTCGCGTTCGCCCGGTGGTGCCGCGCGCGGGGGGTGTACCACTGTTATTGTTGTCGTTGTCAGCGCCGCGGGTATAATATATAGTTCAATCGGTGACCACGACCACGGGATATTATCATAATATAACACGACGTCGTCGTCGTCAAGCCGGCCGTGACGAACATGCCGAAAAAGAAACCGATACCGGTCGAAGATCTGGTGGTGCCGCCACAGGACACCCGGATATGCGGTACGATATGCGTGTGCCAGATGACTGCCGTGCTGAGCAGCGTGGCCATCGTGTACTTGACGGTGGCCATATACATGCCGACCATGCGGGAATTCAAGTCGGGCATATCTGAGGATCCGGTGGTGTGCACTACCACTAGGAACGTGTCGTCACAAAAGTGCGACTGGAGCTCGTGCAGCGAATGGTGCCTGAGCAAGCCGTCCGGCGGCTGCGCGCAGATCTACGTCAACATCCGGCAGAACGGGTCGGCGCTGCTGTTGCACAACTGTTCGCACGTCGTCAACAAGACGTGCTTCGGGTTCGACCCGGAGAACGCCAAGCGGTATACGTGCATCCGGGACGAGTGCAAGACGCTGACCGGCACGTTCAACTGCACCGACGGTGTGTGCATAAACATCACGGACGCGTTCCGGTGCGAGTTCCGCAACACGGAACCGCCGCTCAAGTGCAACGAGTATCGGGGCAAGATCACGTGCATGTCCATAGCAGGCCTGAACAGCTGTGTGCGCGGCGAGTGCAGTCGCATACTGGAGCCGTACAACTGCGACCGGCGGTGTGTGGACATACCGACCAGGAACAAGAACGTGATTGTGCTGAGCGGCGACAGGACGTTCTTGGCGCGGTGCGACGCGGCCGCGCACCTACCCGGTTACATGGACGGCGACCCGTTACCGCGAGAAATTGACGAAGGCGGTGGCGGCGTCATCGAAACCGAGCGGCGGCGGAGGATATGGTCCGAGGAACAGGACGATGTGCTGATTGCGTCGTGCATGAGCGTGGTGCTGGGCGGGCCACCCGGAGATCTGCTAGCCACGGACTGCGTCAACGGGTCGCTACTGCGGCAGGACGTACTGGCCGACTTCGCCAACTTCTCGCACCTGACCAACCTGAACGCTCAGAGTGACCGGCCAATAGTGGCCGGTGACGTGGTGGCGCCCCGAGAACACAAGCTGCTCATTGCCAAAGACAGCCACCTGCACATCAACCTGGAGGGCTGCGTGAACACGCTCCGAGGCGAATGCGACGTGTTCATCCGACGGTTCGGCAAGGACGGTTCCGACCACAACGCTCGCGCCCGGTTCCGGTGCTTCTACGCCACCGGCATACCCGAGCTGGCCGTCGTCCGGTTCGACCTGGGCCGCACGTACAAGGAGTTCCTGGTGGCGTCCGTGGTTCCGGTGGTTATGTTGGTCATATCGTGCTTGACGCTCATCCTGTGCCAGCGAACGGTCGAGGTGGGCGACGACGCCAAGATGCGGTTCAAGCGCAAGAGCATCCGGACGCTGTTCCCGCTGCACGACCGCGAACTGGACAGCATAGCCGGCCGCCGACCGTCCACTGTCGACCTGGACAACACGTCTCTCTGAGATTCGCTACGTGAGTATACATCACAGAATAGTGATAGAATAATAAATATTATTGAGTCGTAATTAGACGGCAATCATGCATCCTGTCCGTCCGGTTTACTTGTCGTGTGCGTCCTGGCCCATGTGAGTCTGACTTTTTTATGAAGCCATAACCGAAGATTTGAGCCGTTTTCGATACTATTTTTCGGTGGCAGTTAATATAGGCGATCATCTATTCTCTATTGAGAAATGTATCCTCCGTTGGAAAGTCCAGAGAACGCCACCGCGGCTATATTCTTGTACGTTATAATAATAGGTGGTCAATATTATGTCCAACAGGACTCTAATGTACGAGAGTCACTAATATATTACACGCGCAGGATGTTACTATTACTTGTATAATATTGTGCGATTATTCTATTTCGTTTTATTGACCATGTTTTTCGTTTCTTTTGCAGGCATTCCCCTCTTACAAGATAGCCCTACTCGTCAGCAACAGATGTATTCGTTGCCAGACTACTAGAGCTTACATTTCACCACGATCCGGACGGCTTACATGAAAAATAAGCTTCGTACACAAAACAAATCTGGATCGGTGAGGGGAACGCGTAATTGTTACAACATGAAAAAAAAATTGTTACTAGTGAGATTTAATTGTATTCACTCGTTTAAATATAATTCATTGCATCTCGAAAATTGTGCACATAAATAATATATACATTTGTGAATTGACACATCCTTACCACGTCGCTAATTTTTGAAAAATATATATTTTTTTTTATACACTCGATGCCTATAACTATAATATACACACAATACTATTAAACAATAAGCTTTATGTACTATTTTATAGATATAATATGCGCGAAAAGACATTTTTGATATACTCTAAACCAATTAAAAGCAATATCACCAAAAATATAATAATATACTAAATTATTGTATACGAACAGTATATGTGCGCATATATTATACTCTAAACCAATTAAAAGCAATATCACCAAAAATATAATAATATACTAAATTATTGTATACGAACAGTATATGTGCGCATATATATTTATATATAATGTTATGTTGTAAGATACCATTTTTAAATAATAATAAATTGTTCAATATTAAGTTTATACTCATTGTAATTTATGATTGTATTTGTTATACTATTATATACGTTAAATAGTGTTATAATTTATACAATGATATGCATGTACATCCAATGTACACACAAGCGTTTCTAGTAGTTTAAGTAAAATGTGTAACTGTATAATAGGTACCTATATGTACAGGTATAAAACGATGCGCTTATAGACCGAGATTTGTAAATCTATTTATTGTATATTGTATTATTTACGTTGTCGTTCTGTATGAAAATCTCGAACACCGGTATCAACAAAATATTATGGTCTAGAATAATGTTTGCACCAATTTCGTACACGAGATCAACACGCATGCTATACAATTTTATATTGATATATTATAATATTTATTATAATATATCCTTTGATATTTTTTATAACTAACAACTTGTATAATATATAAATATTCGATATAATTATATGTAAGCATAATTGCTGTTGCTTAACAATAGTGAAATCAACGTAAATTATATTCATAAATATATACACGATAAATTATTATATTGTTCAAATGTTTTATTTTAATCATACTTAAGGTTATATATACTAGTGTTTTCGGTCTTAAAAACGCAAAGCAACTCTTTTTAAAAATTCTGAAAATGTTCCACGTGAATACATATTATTAAAATTAGTGGGTAGGTACTTAACAAAAATTTTAGTATAACATTAGCATAAATTAAGTATATTTTTCAAAGTAAAAGTTGAATATATTTTTAATGTTAATACTCCATGTATTACAGGAGTTTTAAAAATTGAAGGTAATCTTCTGAAAAATTCAAATCGAATAAAAACGATAATTATTCAAAATCAGCTTTCAAAACATTTTTATTATTGTTGAATTTGTTTCATTATTATGGATTAGAAGAAAACATGTGGAATCGTGAAGACGATATTAAGAAATAATCGATTGAAAATCTAAATTTATAAATATCATCTCGTTTAAATCTGCATTTCCATTATATTATGATTCGAAATTCGATTGATTGCTTTTATAACATACAGAGTTATTTAACAAGCAAACCGACCACATTTTAGATTTTAATTAAGACATTTTTAAAATTCCTACTTCTGAAATGTTTAGAAAGACTATAAAAAAAATACTCTACATTTTTAAAAAACTTTTATAATATTATACGTGCTCTATACACAGGCAGTTGTCTATACATCATTAAACAGCCGGCCACCGCCGAATTACGTACCTACCTAATCATCACTTTTGGCACTTTAATCACTGTTGTGGTTTTCTTTTGTCCCCCGCAGATAGCGACTAAGAGAAATTATGGCCGAAACAGTAGCTGACGACGAGAAGGAGATGCGGAGCCGACTGCCCAGCCAGGACGAAGGATCAAGGCTGCTCGGCGAACCGGCCGAGGACGGCTTTTGTGAGCGAATCAAGCCCAAAGTGAGCCTGTGCCTGGGAACCACGGCCGTGCTGTCGTTCATGGTGTTCCTGTTCCTCGTGCCGTTCGTCGTCGACCCGGCGGTGTCCCGGCTGATCGCCCGGTACGCGCCCGAGCCCGGCACGTGCGCGCTGCATGAGCACGTGTTCGCAGCCGGCATGAGCAAGTGTACGTGGTCGTCGTGCCGGGAGGGCTGTACGTCAGCCACCACGCGGTGCCATCAGATAACTGTCAACTATTCACTAACGCCGTACCAACAATACGAACAGGCACGAAACCAAAGGGCGTATACTTAGACATTTTAACGTTTAGATGTTCTTTTTTTTAAAGATTTTTTTCTGAGTTCAAATTAACTGTACACACAGATATTATATGGCAACGAATACAATTAATGCAAAATTCAACATCAAAAGGTTACAATACACGATCATAAGTCGGTATAGGTATATGAATAACCCCGCTATCTATTGCCGATTGATCACAAATGTTTTCACATTTCATCAGTGATGGTGACTTGTGTAATGATCACAAATTACAATAATAGTTTTGATTCCAAGAATAATCACTTTTTAAACTGAAAATTAAAAAAACGATCAAGGAAGAGATAGAAAATTAAGCCTCGACTGTAACATATGAATTAAGTTAAATGTCAAAAACAATAACAAAAATATTCATAATATGAAGGTACTTTAAATAACAATTATTTTGTTATTCTATTAATTCACAGGTCACAACTTGAATAAGAAAGTATCTAAATAGCTCGACTATTCTTAACTTTAGATCGTAAAAGAAAATTAAAACATATAACAAATTGTAATGTATGTGTTCAATAGAGTTTCGGTTAACTACAAATAGACATGTTAAATTTAATTCCCAATAATCACACCTAGACGAGTAGACGACATATATATAAAACAATAGAAAAGATACTATAAAATAAATTATATTCAGAGGATAATTGAGACAAAGGCAATAAATCCCAAGGTTGTGTATTGTGTATCTGGTCATCAAACTATTGACTATTAAAGGTATCGTAATAAACTCATATATAAGCTAAGTATTATGAAAGGCTGTTTTGTGAGTAACACTATATAACGAAGATTAACGTCAAAAACAATACAATTTTAAAATTAATTAAAATGAGCTTTTGATTGTTGTGAACGAGGCGAAATGGCTAAAATATATAATACTTTTCGTCGTTACCTTAACAAAACCGCTGTAAAAATAAATAAATAATATGGTGGAGTCCAAGTCAATAAATGTATATTAATAAGTAATACTGGTAAAATCCGATCGATTTTCTTTGTTATATTAGATAAATTCCCACTAAACTCATACAGTAACAAAATATAAATTATTTTTATAAAATAATATGCGTGTATAAATAATTTAAATAAAAATGCACAAACGACAAAAAATATTATAAACTAAATCAAACTACAATGAATTTTCATTCAAATTATTTATGTACAAACTGTTTTCTATTAGTATACAACCCGAGTATCAGCTCACTAAATGTGAATGCCCATTTTTTTTTTTAAACAATACATAAAAATAAAAATAAGGTATAAACGAAATAATCTCATTCTAATCTCTGCGTGTGCATCGATCGCACTTACTCATATTCATTAGGTAATGACTTATTGTAACGATCATTATTTTATTGTGATGAGACTATAAAAGCGGATGAATTTCGATGTTTGACAAACACTTGCGGTTATACAACAAATTAGTGTAGAACACGATATAGTCCAATATAGTTATCTAATAACTGCAACCTGCAGCAGTAAATTTAAAAATCAATTGCAACTCTAATTTTCAAAATATATACCGACATGAAGTCGTAACGAAGTGTTGTGGCGTGTTTCAGGACCACATGTCTCCTGAGTCACTGGAATGGGCGGGCACGGTGGTCCGGTTTCTGGTGAACACCGAAGGGTGCGGTTACCCTCCGTTCGTCAACTGCACCACGTTCGCCTTGAAATACGGTCACATCGATTTGGAGGATATCCCAAAGTTCGATAGCATCAAAGAGCCGGTGACCCGGGAACTGTACAGGCACGGTAACGAGACTTCGATTGGGTTACCTCCACCGCCAATGTTGTTGGAAGCGTATGACAGCAAGCTGCAGACGACGGCAGTTGATCGCCGGGAGCGAGAAGTTTCTGTGGCGCCGGAAGTGGCGATGAAAGTTTTCCCGTGTTACTACAGCCGCGCTTACCCGGACAGGGTGGTGGCCGACTACGACTGGCACCACACCATCAAGACCCTGGTGGCCGCTGTGGTCATACCCTGGACGCTGTTCGTCCTGTCGTGCACGGTACTGTGTTACTGGTACTGTCCGGCGCTCAAGAGGGAGTTCATGATCGACAAGAGAAAGACGGCGGCAATCAAAAACGAAAACCCGCAACTAGTGATCAGGTGAGCATCTCTTTTTTCCTCTGTACTTTGATAATCGGCAGATCATCATGTAGGTAATGATCCTTTAAACATGTCTTCTCATCTTGTCACTATAACGACTCGTTAGCGGAATTTTAACGGCACGCAAAAATATTTTTATTCCATTCAGTATATTAGAAAATAATTATTTATTATTTCTAAAAGTTTGAAACTCACTACTTTCGGCCACAATATTTTATAGATAACTGACATTTTGATAAAAAAGTGGCTCATTCCAAATACACTTATATTTGTGTAAAAATAGGTACATGTGAAAGTTGATTTTCCACAGTGAATTATCCCAAGTCAAAAGAGAAAAAAATATATATTATTGGAAGAACAACAACAATAACTGGTATTAAAAAATTGATTATAGGTCCTATGAACATATTACTGGCACGTGAGTTTTTCTTACGACTTTGATTACAAAGTATTGGCAAGTGACCCGAAAAAGGGTCGCGACATCTCCAAAAATGGCTGTATTGTTGTCAGTGGGTGATCGCGAATTCACGACCCTAACTTTTATTCTCTAACGGAATATTACCGATGCTATATTAGGCAGGCTATGTCCTATCTATCTCTCGACAATGACGACATTATACTGTAAACCAACACTATAATAAAATAAACAAAAATGGTATGTACAATTTGTTTTACTCTCACACGCGATTAATCTGACCGCAGCGATGATGTGAACATGTTATATACGACAATAGGGCGCGTATCAAATCGTTAATCTTGTAAAATTTCGTCTACCGTCTACAGCACACGCGATTGAATCAAACCCAAATTTATACGATAAAAAAAATAATTGTTCACATAAATGTTATAACAATAATAGTTATAATAATGCTCAACGAGCCAAAAAGAAAACAAGAAAATACACTACAACGACCCGAATGAAATGTATTTCATAAAATTATTATACCACTCCTACGTCTGACATTAAATTAGAGTTACATATATTGTATACTTCTAACAACTTCATACATAGTATTCAACTTATATATTATTCATTCGACAATAACGACAATTTATTGCCGTCGACGACGCTATAATTTTAAGTTTAATGTCCGACATATCTACTCTTATTTATTTTATATTATACAGTCTGCAGGACTGTTTAAAAGATAATTTGGTAATAACATTTTTGAAAACATTCCAAACTGAAAAATAAAAATCACTGTATACAGATTTTAAATTTAATTAAGTAAAGAAATGGAAAGTTTTAAACACTATGTAAGCCCAATTCGTTTTTATTAACTTTTTTACTAAAACTGTTCAATCGGTTTTTTTAAGAATAAACAAAACTTTAACGATAAAGTAATAGGTACAGAAAATGACGAAACGGCGCAACACAATATCATTTAAACAATTTCTATATACATTTAAAATCGAAAATTAGATACAAGTATAATAATATACTAGCTGAATTATATCCGGCGTTGCCCGGAAAAACTCTTTTTAGGCAAAAATAATTATCTTTTTAAGCATAAATTAGGTATATCATTTTTAAATGTGTAGCCACATGTGTAATTTTGTTTTTTTCGTATTTACAATATTATTTAAGAATACCTTTGATTCCATCTAACTAGTACTACCACTTTCAATTCAAACGGCTACAGTTTTCCGTTAAGGTATGTTTTGCCATGACAATTAACAAATCTCAAGGACAGTTTTTGAAAGTGGCAGCAGTGGATTTAAAGAATGACTGTTTCTCTCATGGCCAATTATACGTTGCCTTTTCACGTGTAAGTTCTTCTGATAGTCAATTAATACTACTTCTCGAAGGAAGAACCAAAAATATTGTTTACAAGGAGGTATTATAAAAAATGCAAAACGGCTTTGCACAAAAAGACTGTTTTGCACACAAAAATGTTACCCATAGTATTTTAAAATAATATTGTAAAACTGTTTCTCCCATACCGTATAGCCTGTAAAGATAGTTGCTTCAATTAGATTTTTATGTGAGGTCTTAACCCGAAGTCGTGTGCCAAGTTTGTCAAGAATGTCCGAACTGCTGGTAGTACGACGAGCAAATGAAATGAACATTAGTTCACGTGCACATAAGAATGTATATTGTATAGACACCGTGGCAAGGCAATAATAGAGAAATACCTCATAAATAGAATTCGTATGTGTATTGGTTTATGTTATCGGTGAGCATTTCATCGTTCGACGATTATTATATAATAGGAGTATAATAATATTATATTGGTATATTAAGTATATTATATTGGTGTACGCGCAATGCATGAGATCATTTTTATTTATGAACTTCTCGAGACAATTCTTATTGTTGACCTTTAGACAAAAAGGATAGGTTGCAGGTAGCTGGAACCCGCCGGCCATCATGAGCCTGTGCCGTGCAGCACAATACGTATTGGTGATGAATAATTATAATTGTTAATTACTCCCCTAAAACGCAACATTTTTGAAAATCCTTTCTTGTTGCACGGTGAAAATATGAGAAGAACCTCTATTCCAAATTTCAAGTTCGTACGCTGCGTAGTTTTTGAGTTACAGCGATCAGTGACAAAGTGGTATTTGGATTTTATATGTTTAGATTTAATTTCATATCAATAAAATAATTAATACTGACTCAACAACACCTACATAATGTTCAAGGATATGATCAAGTAAACAATAATTTTTACAAACAAATTTTTTTAGCACCTGCCAATAGTTATAAAATAACTCATTACTGAGGCTTAGTTTCAAAAAAAAAAAAATGAATTCTGGATTTAAGTGTCTATAAATGTTCTTTAATTTTGTTTAACTAAAATTATAAAAATAGAAAGATAGTAATTAATGTTCATATTACACCTAATATTGAATATTTCAAATTAAAAATAAATAAATTCAAAAATAGTTGATCTTTGAATGTACCTACCATAATAATTATATTATATTAAACAAAATTCATCACTATTCTTTATTTTCAGGAGAAAATTGTCCAAACGGCCATTCAGCACAGACGAAGAAGATGGCGATTATTGATCAATAGGCCCACACATTTGCTATTTAATAATGGCTTTTTTCAGGCACAGAAGCAAATGCTAAATTTTCAGTTCACTGATTCAGTCTAACTACGTTTATATACTTACATTTGTATTCCGCTTTAACTTCACGCGGATCTAATTTCAATAATTGTGTACGCCAAAAATTATTTTCTATCTCAAAAATGTTTTTTTTTAACTTAATACGTGTAATAAGCCTACAAAAGCGAATTGCTTTAGTCATATAGGTAAATAAATTATTTTTTTATACATGTATATTTCACTTTTTATAATAATAGTTTATATAGACGTATAATTATTATAAATTATAAAATATATTATATGCTGCTTGTTGTTCATAAATAAATTGTTTTCATAATATCCTATGCATATATATATATACATACATGACTGATTATACATAATATATAAACTGTTTATCAAATAAACTATACAATATACGGTTTAAACAGTTATAAAAATAATTATTGAATTTGAATACACCCCAAACTACATCTATCACAATCCCCGCTGATGAGGCACACTTGAACGAATACGAATCGATGATATTTCAAAGAAAAAATGGGTATCATTATGATTGCACTTTATTGTGATGTATTGATGTTGTTAACCACTGCAGCAAGCATAATGCTTACATTAATTCATTGAAACGTTCAACGCGAGATCGTCTTAAACACAATCGATTTGACCCAGTACAAGAGAGGGGCTGACATGTACGGAGAGAAAAAACTTCCACCAGGGTTCGTTGTGGTTGGGACCCTTTCCCGCTGGCGGCATCGAATAAACAGGGGAGTGTCACTCTATCGGAATTACGTGTTCCGTTCAAATATGTTTTCGTAATGCAACAGTTTTCGACTAGACATCTATCGGCATACATGTACGGGTAAATTAAAATCTCACAATCGACATGTAACAACTGAAACCGATCGAAACACTTTCCCAGGGATAATATATTATATGCAACGGCAAAAAAAAACCGGATGAACAAAAATTCCGATCAAAATATATTTCTATTTTGATATGCTCCAAAACATACGACGGGATACTCAAGAAACGAACAAAACTGTGAGTATACACCATTATATGTTTACAATTATCTATAATATACGTATTTTGTGTGCGTGTGTGTATTTTTGTGACTTGTGTGTATACTGATAGGTGGTGTATCTGTGCAATATGAGGGCCACATGATAGTATTTTAATCACGAGCATACCCTGTGTTATCAATATTATCATCTTTTAATGTCGAATAAGTGAAAAAGTGATTAACACGCTCACTATCAATTGTGTAATTTCGACGATGAAAATATACCCGTCATATTAATCTAAATTATGTAATTTAATCTAATTCGTAAAAAAACTAGTATAAATAAATAAAATAAATAAATAGTGTTGTAAATGTAATCCCTGGTCAAAACGCACGTTATATTTATTTCTTGAGCATATATTTTGAGAATGTTTATCTATATTTTAGTTCAATTTACTAATATAAATTGTAATCATATTTTTCTAATATTTTTTTTAAATTAAATTTAATCAATAGATTTATTGTAAGAAATTGACGATCGTGAAAAAGCCATAGAAGTTCAGAGGCACATTCTTTCTAGATTGTTATTTTCATCAATATCACTTATCGATAATTAAAAATTCGGATAAAGCATACCTATTAGGTAATATTATTGATTGTTACCTTAAAACACAGAACAATAATAATTTAAATAATATAATTATATAAATAGACAAATGTAGTCTTGATAAAAGTTATTTCAAAGTATTTATGCTTATTAATATTTCTAAGTGTATTTAGAAAAAAAAACTGAAATGTTTGCAAACTAAAAATGTTTAAGATTATTTTGTTCATATTTAGAGGTATTGAGGAAATATGTAAGTTTATAGTAAGTGAAATTCACAGCCACAGTTTAAGTAAAAACATATTTTAAATTTCAAGATAAAATACTTTTTGTATCTCTAAAGCCTAAAAAATATAATTTTCACCTTTTAAAGAATAACAATGTTACTTTTCAGTCTCATTTTTACACTATTTTTTCGTATACATAGAAAGTTCTTAATAAGAACCATAAAAGAAAAGTTTGTGAACCACCCGACAATGCTGTCACCAAGAAATTTTGATAAGTTTCCATAATAATAAGAACCAACAAAGTTTAACATAAATAATTCGTTTACCCGTATACAAAATTTAGTGCATACAAAAGAGAGTATATGAATTCTTTATAAAGTTTACATTTACAATGATCGACATCAGCTTATTAAGTTCAATTTAATAATAATAATTTCATAATATCACAATATACCATATTTCAGAGAGAAATAATAGTAATACAATATTTAAATTAAAAGTTGTTTAGTATTAATTAAATTTTAAACAAATCTTATTTATTTCAGTAATTATTGACTGTTGCAAATCTGCGTACTTAAGTTTTCGTTAAAAAAATGTACATGAGCGATTGAAGGAAATGTATGAATTAATTATATACGTACCTATAGGCAATTGAATGTTAATTATAAATTGGTTTTAATTTTAAAGAATGGTAGAAATAACATGAATATACCTAATATAAATAAATTGTAAGAAATTAATGTAAATGTAAACATGTAACGCCGGCTAATAACCTAGCAGTTGATGCCTTAAACAATTAATAAAAATAAATAAATAAATAAATAAATTGTAATAGGGAATGCAGTTCGCTACTGTTTTCCATATATGCACAAAATCATTAAAGAATACCTTAATACACATTTGTACCTACTTAATAAGCTTTGAAAAGTCTATTCCAAACCATAAACATAATCGTTACTCCGTTATAATTTTCGTTTTCCGACTATACTGTTTGGGTTACTCGATTTAATTTACATAAAAGTGAAGCTTATTCTTAAAGGTCACATGTAACAATAATAATACGCTTATTATAATAAGAATTTAGGGGTCAAAAACCTGAAGCTAGCCAAATTAGATTATTTACGAACAGCAGAGCTAGTACAAAATTACAGTATACAAAATAGCTTAAAATATAATATTTTAAAACTATTATAACTATCTAATCGATTTTATAAGTAATATTATAATGTAAGAAAAATGTAAAACATATTATAATGAACAATGATTAAATGAAGAGAGACGATTTTTAACAGGAAATGGACAGTTTTTTTTAATCATTAATTTTGCTTTTTATTAGTAACGCTGCAGGTTGTAACATTTCCATTAACAAAGTAAATATAGTATACATATATGTCGACATTTAATTATTTTAAGTACCTACACAAGTAAAAAATAATTAAACAATCGATTTTTGGCTTTTAACGATTTTCAAACACTGCGCCGGTGGTAGATGCCAATCACAATAGGGTTCAATTCAACCAAACCTATAACATTTTAGTACATATTACGTACTATAATAAACAATATATTTACTTACATCTACCCCTAAACCGTTTTTAAACACGACAAATAACGATTGGAAGTATATCTAAAAACTCTATACACGGGCAATAAATAAACTTTTTCAGTTCCGTTGCACAACAGTTGCTGCTGTGTCCGTCGCGCGGCGAAAGTGAAACATATACCTAACGCAATAATAAAGACATCAGACTTGTCAGAATTTAAAAAAAAAAAATTACAAAACATAATAACAAATGATTGTGAAATATGTTATCGTCATACACATATATTGCGCTGACCGTTGGCCGTATGTCTATATTTATTACACAGGAAATCAGCGAAACTTTATCATGGCGGCCAAGGACCGAGGCGGCAACAGTGCTGGTGGCGGTGCCCGGAAGAAGAAACACGAACCGCCACCGAAGCCTATACCCGAACAGGACAGGCACATATGTGGACTGATATGCGTGTGCCAGCTAACGTTCGTGCTGAGTTCCGTTTCGCTGGTGTACCTGTCGGTGGCCATCTACGTGCCCGGCTACAGGGCTTTCAACGCGGCCATCGAGACAGTACCACTCATGTGCCAGACAATCAACTCGACGGTGTCCAACAACTGCGAGTGGGCGTCATGCGGCGAGTGGTGTCTGACGAAACCGTCGGGCAACTGTCCTCAGTACCTGGTCACGGTCCGGCACAACGGCACTGAAATAGGGGTGGAGAACTGCACGCGGCTCACGAGCGTCTCATGTCCGCAGGCAAGTTTCCAAAACTGTGAGCGGGGGTGTTGAGTTTTTGTTTGTTTTTACCCACACGCGACCGCTTCGTCGCTTTTCTCGACCTCATTATTGATACTATAAGAGTATAAAATATATTTCGACCCCGCGGTCGACTAATTTCGCCAACTTCACCATCACCAAAGCCAAAACCACCGAAACCACATGTGGTCATCGTATTTAAGCACGCCTAAAGCCGAACACATATTATCATATTTCTCATCGAAACCAGAACAAAAAACCTATATAGTCACATATGTATATATTTACTAAGGTATATGGTCTATCAAAATATTCGAATGAAACGCCGTGCATTTCGTCCATAAAAAATACGATTCCATCACGCAAATCACAAAGAGGTCGACTGTAAGGTACTATATAAGGTGTACAGAAAAAAAATTATATTTTAACTTTACATTATGTATATAATATATATATAAATTTCAGTAGGTACAATGTAATAGTTGCATAATAAACGAGACGTGGTGTAGCACGCGGCATTTCGTGATCGAATAAAATATAACCGAGACGCAATTATTATTAAAACTCCAAACGAGAATACATTTTTTCACCGAATAAAAATATAGACCCGACATATTGGCGAAGACGGAAAAAACAAAGCATGCTCGCCCATTTTTACTCCAATAATGCAGTTATTAAAAATCTGATTTTTTAAATTTATATACATATTTTAAGACCATACTTTCAAATCCTTGAAATTTTTTGAACGGCTTTAGGCGCAATCTCCAGCGGAAGATACATATTTCTGCTTTTCAATTTAGAAAATCTTTTCTGCTGTAACATGGTGTACTAAGAATAATAACAGGTCCATTATGGTAAAGGGTTTGGAAAATATAGAGGCTTTGGTGATTTTAACATTCTAGTGATGAACCCATCATCATTAATAATTTCTAAAAATGGTCCAAGTATAATAAATACTAGATCCAAAATAAATTATTACAATTTTACTATATTTTTTTTTTTTGTTTAGCAATTTGTAAAGATTACTACCCTTATTTCAAACACTTTAATAACTGAGAAACTAGTTAAAATTTTGAATTAGGTTCATAATAATTTTACAAAAATAAATACTTCACGGTAAAAAAAATGAGACGCATTAATTTTTTTATTTAAAAACCGAAATTTGTATTGCCACGGAACACTCCTGCATAAGTTACACAAAAAAGTTCAATAATTATTCAATATTTAGGTACATACTAAAAAATTCCAAAAAAAATCAGAATTAAAATAGATTTATTGCAGGACAAAATAAGAGTTGGCATGCTTGGTGAATAAACAAGAATATAACATATTATAAAATATAGCCATGTATCTACATTCTACATATATGAAAATAATGTTATATGAATTAACCAGTTAGGTTTAGCCCAAACTCTAAACAAACAAAATAAAACATGATGACACACACCAGCCCTTGGTCGACCCATCACCACTGCAAACCGGCTAATACGTGGTATTATAAATTTCGTGGTATTTTAACTTTAATACTTAAAGTCGATGGACGCATAAAACGCAACTCTACCTATAATTACTGTCAGAACTCGTTCTAACCTAACCGCGCTTTTCCGCAGGCGAATCCGGATACACTGAAACGGTACAACTGCAACAACAACAAAGAGTGTTTGGGTCTCACGGGCATCATGGCCTGTAGGCTGGGGCACTGCTCTAACATGTCAGAGCTGTACCAATGTTACTACAACAAGAGCGGATCGTCGATCGACAGCGACAAGGACAATTTGAAGCTCAACGGTTATTTCATCTGTGACAACGGGAGGTAAAAACCATGGATTCTTTCGACTCGTATACGACCTGCTGCTGCTGCTGCTGCACCACCACTGCAGACTGCAGCCATCGTCATACTACGGCAGCGGTTATATTGTGTAATAGTTCATATAAAAATATTTTTCTTTGTTTCGTTTTCAAGTTGCTTCACGATTAAATGGCCTTTTGACTGCGATCGATACTGTAACAAAATCACGACGACGGGAGTGAACGTGTTCCTGCGACTAGGGGACACGGTGCACACGGGCGACTGTCAGCGGGTGGTGGCGTACAACAAGGCCAACGGTAATGCGGCACACGGGGAACCACTTGCGACACCCAAAGAGATCTGGAGCGACGAGAACTCCACCATCGGCATATTCATGGCCAGCTGTAACAGCATAACGAGAGACAGCGTCAACTCTCTGAGGTAAGTGCGGCAGAGAACTTATTATGTGAATTCTTGAAACTTGTTTTTCATATGCTGGCTGTTATCTGCAGGGCCTCCGACTGCATCAACGGCACTGTGCTCGAAGAATCGCAAATGCCGCAACTGTTCATCAACTTCACTACGTTCTGGACGATATACGAAGCAAGCGATCGGCCTCTCGATGAGACCAACACGTTCGTACCCGCGCAATCCGCCCTCACTGTCTACAACTCTACCAGACTGTACATCAACCAGCAAGGGTGCGTGAACACGTTGCGCAACGAGTGTAGAGACTTCAGCATCACACATGGCCGAGCCGGCGATAACCACACGGCCCTGAGCCGGTTCCCGTGTTTTTATACTAAGGTAACTTGGTAGTCGCGTAATTTATTCATTATTATATCATTGGTTTTCCGAACTGTAATAAAGCTCCATATCCAAGGTTCCGGCCACATACGATATTATACATAAATATGTAGACGGGTAAGGTAGGATTTGTGCAGTCTAGAGCAGAGGGGCCTGTTAGTCTTTTTTATTAGGTATATTTAAGAAGCAGACAAACAAAATATGATATGTATCAAATCTATGATTTCTAACTGAAATAGTTTTTTTTTTTTCTACTAAAAGGTTAGTGGTTTTTAAATGTATACATATAATATGCACGTTTCGAACGGCCATGGAAAATTATCGCTATTGAAAACGTATGAAAACAAAAGTTTCTAAAACGGTTGCCAGAAAGATGACAACGACTATGTTTAATCGGCGATAATAAATATTAACGATATTGTATGAATATAATATATGAATGTGCCCAATGTATACTTGTTGCCTGCGTTAGTCCGTTTTCGATTAAGTATACTCAACATAATTATATAATACACATCATAAATTGTTCTGTTTTTTTATCGTTGTGTTAAATACAGGCGTATATGTCAGTTAATAAAAACGTAACAATTCCGACGAATGCGTATTCATGAAAAATGGATCAATAATTATTTTTTCAACCCATGTTAAACAAACATCTGTATTTGTTTAGCTTGTAACAAATCAATTTTCGCGATGAAAGATTACAATATAACACAAAATTATAATACTAAAAATATAGCAAAATTAGATGTTATGCTACCCTTGAAGGTTAGACTTGATGAAATTGCATTTCATTACACAATAATTCTAATGTTTTAATTATGTGTGCAACCTTCGGAATTTTCGTAAAATAAAAAGTGGCCCGTTTCCCAAAAAAGTTGATGACTCATTGGCTAGAGAGACTCTAGAGGCTAATCGAGTAAACAAGATTTAAATTCACCCCACGACAGTAAGATCAGTCGAAAATCCACTTTCCGTGTTTTCGCGACGGAATTAAATTTTAGGTTTCAGTGACTTTTCTGTAACTTTTCACAACGGTTAACGATCGAACACCTGCGTTGTTCACTGTTGTTGATTGTTGTTGTTGCTGTTGTTGATACAGAACGATTCGTTCTCGGCGCTGGCCCGTTTTGACTTGAACAAGACGTGGTGGGAACTGATGGTGGGCGTCACCGTGCCCGGCATACTGTTCGCCGTGTCGTTCCTGACGTTGCTGATCGTCCACCAGACGGTCAAGGTGGGCGACGACGCTCGCATGACTTGCCAGTGGTGCGCGGACGACGACGCTGGAGCGGCGGCCGACGAGCCGTTCATGAAGCACATCGACTATCAGGCAGCTGAGGGCGGAAGCGGCCGCAAGCACCGGAAGCGAGGCGAGCTGCAGGAGCTAAGTGTAATCGAAGCACTGGTGGCCAGGTCAGCGGACATGTCCGTTGGTGTCGACGGTAGGCGTCCGGTGGATGGCCCGGACGTGTAGAGTGACACACTTTTGCAACGTTATAACATAATGATATTATATCGTTTTGTGTTTATAAGACGGACGCGCGAAAACCGTCCGGTCAACACCTCCGCCGCCCGCACACGCGACTAAAACGGTAACGCGCGGAAATCGAACGTCAGGCCGATAATTATCAATATTATGATATTAGAACATAATATAACGATATAACAATTATAGTGTTATTATATTATCGTAATACTATTTTCATTTCGCGAACGATTCAAAAAGCTTTTGCAAACATTTTATTATATTCGGACTCAAATACATAAGTAAATAAATTATATATTATAAAGCGTTATTTTTTCTATATATACTGACTATTTCATACGCCAAGTAATAAAATAATATACGTAAGTAAGGTACGTGTGTTGAGTACACATTCGCCACGCATTATAAGAGCGGATAATATATGTTAAAAATGTATACCTAGGCAAATATTCCGACCATCAAAAATTATTCTTAAAAATTGCGTTGATCATATTATTATTATTATTATTATAATAATTGTAGTCTTTTTTTATTTAAAGACTTTTTGTAATTTTTTTTTTTACATATATTTCTAATTATTATATTATATTCACTAATATTGTTTTATTTTTAGTTTTTTTTTATTACGCTAAATAATATATTTGTATTACATTTTTATGTTTAATCACGTTTAAATAAATACTCAAATATTTTCAAAAATAAATGTAATTAAAATTTAAGCTGCAGGAATTAATTCTGACGCCACATCAATATCCATTAATATACCTACATGTCAGATATAAAATATCGCTTGTTTTCACAAAGCCAATACCTACCTTACGATTCCTGACATATTGACGTTTACATTTTGAAGCCGGCACATTTAATACTAAGTGTAGGTACCTGTACCATAAAAATAAAGTATTTTTACTGGAAATATTTAATACATTTACAATTATTACAAACAAACTGAAAATCAATAAAACTTGCTATTCTATACAACTGAAAATACGCCATATTCAAATAACGTTTATTTATGATCAAATATTATACACATACCCGCGAACACTTATTTCAATCAAGTATACATTCGATTTCGAATTTTTTGTCGGGGGTCCAATGTACCAGGGCGGCGGGCCTCGGGCTGAGGTTATTTTAGAGGCATCAGGTTAATGTTCTACATTTTCTAATTTTGTATGAAAATAAATTATTAACAACAATTATAACGGTCGAGTAAAAAATAATTTTAAGAAATTACTGACTTTTTATTTAAAATAATTAGTATTTGCACAATTAAATATAATATAAATATAATTTGAGCGTAATATATTAGCCATAATATATCATTGACAGGGAACGAAAAACAAAACATTAAGCTCTTCCTTAAAAAAAAAACGCATTAAAATCACAAGTAACCGTCATTAAAATATAAATATTTTTGATTATTTTTATAAAAAAATATTTATAACATTTTGAACTTATCTACCACTTCTTTGATGTCAATTAACTGTGCCTATACTTGATCGTTATGAAATTTTTAATTAATTAATGTCTGTCTTCTGTGGCCATTTTTCAAAAATAATAAATAAGTAACGTGTGATTTAAATTTAAAAAGCCGTCGATCACACGGTCCATAAGTGGACCATTTCTTGAAGTCGAGAGTACGAACCTCATACACACGCGACACGCCTATATGCACGATAACATTGCTAGTTCCAAGAATAAAACCTTTTATAAAATAATAGTCACGTATCGAATTCTATGTTAGCACTCACGTATGGAAGGTCACCTAGACCGTTAAAAGCTGTCACACGGTATCACAATTAGTTGGATAAAATTCTCGTCTTAAAGGCCGATTTTTTAATTTGGAAAGACACGATAGAACTACAAACAAGGCTAGACAACAAATTGTTAATATTTTAAATTATTTGCCTTATGAGCATTTCAATCTCGATATTCATTATGTATATTTATATTGCAATTGAATAAAATTCTAAGTTTTTAATATTAACTACGATACATGACTAAAAATGTCACGCGTATCGTGCACTGTATACTGTTGTCAGCTACAATAATATATACGTATAATATACGAATAATATACATTACAAGTAGATCCAGAGGTATCCTCGAGGGAATAATCCAAAGGGCATTCACCCCTTCAATATCAATTTTTTTTCTCAACATATAAATAATACATGTATAATGTATACTATAATTTATATTAAAATTACCTTCTTCCCATACCATGGAAATTGATCCAGGGACGTTACTGTTATCATTAAGTATAATTCCATGTCACTTAATAAAACGAAAAATAACAAAACAGGCTTGAATTTATAGTTACAAGCTACACGAAATGGCAAAAGTGGTGAACTTTTAGCACTGTAACTCGGGATAATAATATTAACCCCAACTGCCAACAGTAATAAATTATAGCGCTTAACGTCACGCGACATTTTGGTTTTTCCATACACCCTACTCCTCACAAATGACAGTTTGCAACAGAAATTAATTTCTTTTACGTCATGGCAGACTAGTTATTTGGAATATTTTGTCAGCTTATGTAGAAACATTAATTTATATATCTATAAGCCTTACAAAACAATAATATTTTACAGAACGCGTGTATTGTACTATTTTTAAATTTATTATTCTCAGCTTATGATTTCACTTTATTATTTTTCTAAATTCTATGTACATCATTTCTTATTATTGTACTATTATTGTACATATAAGTATACTCATCGTATTTTAATATATTGTATATCTGTACCTACATATATGTGTCGTAGGCATATAGTCAAATCAGGCATTTTATCAAATGCCTAGGCATATAGTCAAAAAATTTAATGTTTATGCAATTTCACTATCCGCCTAGACATTTAGTTAAATGCCTAGTCATTTAATTAAATGACTAGGCATTTGACTAAATGCCTATTTCATGCCAGGCAAATAATAAAAAAACATTAGCTGTGTATTATTTATTAATATGAAAAACACGTAGATACTCGTATATGAAATAATATGTTTAATTTTGTGTTAATTATTATTTAGTATTGTTTTAAAAATGAAATCATAAATATATTCAGGTAATAACTAATTAGATGTGATAGACATAAATGATAGTACGAGTATTTTGTATAGCATATATAGTCAATATAGTCTATAGTACGAGTAGTGAGTACTATATATTCTTATTAAATAAAAATAAAAGTTCCATTGGTTTTTACCTTGGAAAATTAACGTGGGTACTAGGTTGTATGAGAACCTTATCTATATTGAGTACCGTGGGACAAATTATAATCTTATCGATTATAACGACAAAAATATGACGTTACCAAAAAAGATACAGAACATGCGATTGAATTGTACAATAATTTAGTTTAGTACGTCTATTACGTTTACGTAAATCGTATGTAGTGTGATCGTGATTGCATGTAATATTGTAACATAGGTATACCAATTGACATTTTTTGTATATTTAAAATTTTGATTGTTTTTATTTGTATTTTAAAATATAATATGTCACACAGTGTATTGTTTTATGAAAAATTAAAATCAATTTACGACAACCAAGATAAAAAAAAGCCATGGAGTCAGGAAGACTACGACAAAGCTCTAAACGAAATCAATGATGCGAAATTGAATCCAGGTAAAACTAAAACTCAAAACCAATATTATTTATGTCGTAAATATGATCTGATTGAAGTAGGAAATGTTAAACATATTATTTTAAAACCAAAAACTAAAACCGAAAATATTATTTATGTTGTACCATATGAAAACTATTTTGAAAAAATCGAAGAAAGCCATAAAGCGACTGGTCATGGTGGAAGGGATAAAGTTGAGCAGAATTTAAAAAATAAATACAACATTCCTCGAATAGCAATCCAAATATTTATTAATTTGTGTACAACTTGTAACAAAAAAAAATCAAAACCTTGTAAAGGCGTCGTTATAAAACCAATATTATCGGCAGATTTTAATTCAAGAGGGCAAATTGACCTTATTGATTTCCAATCAACACCCGATGGAAATTTTAAATGGGTCATGAACTATCAGGATCACGCAACCAAATATTTATATCTTCGACCACTTACTTCAAAACGAGCCACCGAAGTTGCACACGAACTTTTAAA